CTTTGTAGGCCGTTTAAACCCCCACATTAACTGGAGTTCCTGTAAAACTCGGCGAGGAAAGTACCCACTCGGCGTGTTGCCAAGTGGTTCGGCGAAGAAAATGAATGTCGCCGAAAGGGCAAGAATTGGACGGTTTTTAAACGGACAAAGTATTAAAATTTCAAAATCTTTCACATTCCCTCACTTTTTAACTTCAAAAAATCACACCCGCACTATATTTTCTACATTTTCACGTTTTTACCGCTTCCTAGTCATCGATCTTGTGTTTGGAGTTGGAATTTTGTTTTCCCTAGCATTTGAAATCGTATATTCGGATTTAAAGCTTGGTTTTCCATACCCCAAAACTCGTATTTAGCGGTTAAACTCAAATGCATTGTTATGAATTGTGTTGCTGTGTGTTGGGCCTCTTCGAATTCGTGTTTGCGTGCTTTCTTGCCAATTTTAATTTCCTATCATGCCTATAATGCCTAATTGTTAATTTCCCAAGCTTCGTGCCATAAAATTGATCTTAAATTTTTGGGTTTTGCTTAATTGTTGTTGGGTCTAGTCGGGTGAACAATGAGTAACCAATGTTTATTCTAAATGACGTGTTTTACCCAATGATAGAGCGGTTGACATCATTCTTAAGGGCTAAAGTCGTCAAATGGCTATTTTTGGCCAAACTAGGAGAAGCATGAGTACCCCGGTGGCATGGGTGTGAAGGGTCTGAGTGTGATTGATCAAGTGTATGGTTTGATTTTGATTTCGGGTGCTGCGAGATTGATTTTGGAAGTTGGGGTTTAAAGTAGGCATGCTGGGCAGTTTGGCGAGCTGGGTCGAGCTCGCCGAACCACCCTTGATCCCCTTTAATTTCATGGGTTTTATTGCTCTTGGTTCTGTAACTTTTGGCGAGAAGCTTGAGTTCACCTAGTGCACTCGGCGACTCGCCGAAAGTCTTCTTTGATTTCCCTTTATGCGCCCCTAACCCCTAAAATACATTGTAACTTTCGGTGGGATAGTTTGTGCTCACCGAATGAAGCCGGTGATTCATCCAAAGGCCTTTCCCATCACCGACTAGCCATTTTTCTGGAAATTTTTGAGCCAATCTTTTTGGCGAGCCCGATTTGGCTCGTCAAAATGATTTGGCGACTTGTTGATCATTTCGGCGAGTCTGTCTACAATATGAATTGTGATTTTTATTGAAATGTTTCTAACTTTCTACTATGTTTTTGCAGATATGGATAGAACCAAGTTTGACATGCCCCCCCCCCCCCCCCCGTAAAAGAGCATGGGGAATAGTGATAAATGAAGGGGAAGCCAATCCTCCCAAAAAGGGAAAGGTGGTAACTCCCAAAGGAGGCAAAGGAAAGGGCAAGAATGTAAGATCCCGTAGTTTTTTTTTTCTCTAATCGTGCATAATAAACGTGGCGTAGTATGGCATGGTTATATGAGGTGTATATGACTTTGTATCGTACATTGGAGATTAAGATTGCAAGTAGGTGGCAATATAAAGGAACTAAACTAAAGTTTTAGGTTAAAAGAACCCCTCAAACAAAGTTCATGAGAAAAGAAATGGCTCGGGTAGAACTTCGCCCGTTTGAAAGGTTTAACTTGTCCCATACCTTGTGGATAAGCCTATGAGTGTAAAACATGCTAAGAATAGTGTGTTATGAGGTATTATAATAGCACAAGGGTCGTATGTTAAGTTTGGAAGTCAAGAAAATTAGTGAAACTAAAGTCGGCAAAAGTTACCGAAGTTTCTCTAAAAATATTTTCTTAACTTTGGGTCAAATGTCTTGGATGTTTTCTCCCAATATACAAAGAGTTAGAAGGCCTATCACCCATTAAATCAAAGGCCTATGAGTCTAGTTTGCAACGCACAAAACCCCATATCTAACCGACATCGGAGTAAAAAGTTATGAGGGTTTTACTACGGACTGTCGGGGCAAAATCCGGGTCAGGTTAAAAATGTGGTATGTCGGCTTACTCAACGTTTTAAGCCATGAAAACATTTCATTTTACTTCCAAACCAGAAATAAAGCTTAAGATAAGGTTCCTATGGAGTACTTTCATGATGAAGGTAAGTTTTCGACGATTTCTACCATTAAAAATTGCCCCTGTACCTAGAAACGTGATCTTTACACGTGGTAATCGTTTTCTCCTTCTATTAGCTGCGTTTGGAGCAAGTTTTTGAAGATATAAATTATTAGTTATTGGAGTTTCTTCAAGGTTTACACTTGGTTAACTAAGGTAATCATCTCGGGACTCTTTTATGATTGTTTTTATGAAGTTCTACGGACATTTCATCAAGTTGAGGCCATTTGGCAAATCTGCTGATTTAAGAACAATTATGAACTGTTTATAGGTGTGTACCAGCTGTGTATATATAGTGTTTGCGAAGTTTAGAATGTAAGGAACAACTTTCGTGAAGAAGCTACGGCCATTCGAGCGTTCATTGAAAAGTTATGTTAAGTCGAAGTTACATCCCTCATTTTAGCACCACTCCTGGGAAATTCCTAACACGCCAAATGTGATATTTTGCTATTCTCTTGCTAGAAAGACCTTCAGTGAAAGGCATTGGGATCACAACTAAATTATTTTCATGATTCTGTTATTTTGATATTTCACTCGTTCGGATAAATAGAGTGTTCGACATCTACACGTCATTTTATCAGTTTCCTTGATTATATGTCCGCACCTATGAATTCGTATTCTTCCTTGGGTGATGTGAATTAAAATGTCACACGAGACCCTTACTACTTGTGACCAGCCCTCTTTCTCCACTAAGGTTATTATTAAAGAAAAACTTGAAAGTAGCTTACGACCTTCAAAACTCTCAAATATAATTTAAATGTAAACTATTAGAACACTTACTTTTTGAAATATTTCTTTTATCTAGGAACCAAGTTAGGAACTAAGTAAGTCACCTTAAACTTGTTATGAATATCAACAAGGTTAGGTTATCCTTATAAATTCGAGTTAACTTTTCAAGCTTATTTGGAAGAACATATCAAGTTCCATGAGATTGTTATATGTTATACGAAAGTGATTATGGGGTTAGGAGAACAAGACTACCAATGGGCCAAGATTGGCAACATGACAACAGTAACTCATAGGTGTTATAAATCCATGAAATGCTATGCATTCTACTCCCGAGCTATAACCGGGAGGTATGGGGCCTATTGCCTATATTTATACGTATGAGACACAAATGG